TTTTTTTTCTGGGAAATCAAAATGGGGGGAAAATAATTTTTTTCTGTACAAATAAACCTTTGGAAAAATAAAAATTTGGTTTTCTGTAAAACAAATTGGGAAAATATAATTTGCTTTTCCCTTTCAAACAAAATGGGGCAATATAATTTCCCTTTTTTTGGGACAAAACAAACTTGGGGAAAAAAAAATTTGCTTTTCTGGTTTTTCCCAAACCAACAAAATGGGGCAATTAATTTTCTTTTCTGTTTCAAAAAAAAAATGGGGCAATAAAATTTCCCTTTTTCCCTTTTCAAAAAACTGGGACAATATAATTTCTTTCTGTAAATTCAAATGGGACAAATAATTTTCCTTTTTTGTACAATCAAACCGGGGACAAAATAAAATTTTCTTTTCTGTAAATCAAATGGCATATATTTTTTTTTTCTGTACAATCAAAAATGGGAACCCAAAAAATTTCCCGTTTCTGTAAAATCAAATTTGGCAATATAATTTTCTATTTTCTGTAAATCAAAGGGAAAAAATAAATTTTATTTCCCGTACAAACAAATTGGGCCCAAAAATAATTTGCTGGGTTTTTCTTTAAATAAAAATTTGGGGCAATATAATTTTGCTGTTTCTGGTTCAATCAAATGGACAATATTTATTTCTGTTTCGTAAATTTAAATGGGGCAATATAAATTTTTTTTCTGTAAAAAATCAAACTGGGAAAAATATAATTTTCCCGTTTCTGACAATCAAATGGGACAATAAAAATTTCTTTTTCGTAAATCAAATGGGGAATATTTAAATTTTCTGTTTTTTTGGTTTAATCAAACTGGGGCAATATTTTTTTCCCTTTTTTTACAATCAAATGGGGCAATATAAAATTTTGTTTCTGTAAAACCCAAAAGGGACCCAAAAAAAATTTTCTATTTTCTTACAATCAAATGGAATAAAAATTCCTTTTTCTGACAATAAACTTTTTTCCCAAAAAATTTAACCTGGTTTTAAAAAGGGAAAAAACCTGGTTTTTTCAATAAAACTAAATAATTTTTTTTGTTAAAAATAAAAATTACAAAACAAGGGGATTTTGGGGTTAAAAGGTATAATTTTTGGCTTTCCCAAACAAAAGGGCTTTTTGATTTTTTCCCCCTAAAACAAATTTAAGATTTGGGAAAATTTTTTTGATTTTTAAAACAAGGGAAAAATTTAATTTTTTGTTTACTTACATTTTGGGGTTTTTTATTTTTAAAAACCAAAAAATTTTGTGTTTTTCAATTAAAAGGTTTTTTTTTTAAAACAAAGGGGAAAAAGTTTTTGTAAAAAAATGGAAAAATAAAGTTTTCTTTTAAACACAAAAACTTTTTTTTCAAAAGGGTTTTTTTCTTTTTTGACAAACAAAATTGGGGGAAAAAAAATTTTTAAAATTTTTACAATCAAAATGGGAAAAAAATTTTCTATTCCAATTTTTAATCAATTGGGTAACTTTTTTAAAAAATTAAACCGGGGCTATACAAATAAGAGTGCCACGTTCAATAAAAAGGGGGAAATAAATTTAAGTACAATCAAAAAATTTTAACATTTCTTAAAAAGGGGAAAAAATAATTTCCCTTTTTGTACAATTAAAATAACAAGTTAAAAAACCCGGGAAAAAATTTTACAAAACCCAAAAAACTTTAAAAATTAAATTTCTTTTTTAATTTTTCCCACAATTTAATTTTTTGACAAAGTTGGGCTTTGAAAATTTGCAAATTTTGTTTCCAATTTAAAAGGGCCCCCTAAACCTGTACAACAAAAGGGGAATTAATTCTATTTTTTAAAAAAATTTGGGGCAAAATTAAACCTTTTCTGACTTAAATTCAATTAATTTGGAAATCTTTAAAAAAAGGGACCCCCTAATTAAATTTCTTTAATTTTTTAAAATTTTAAAAGGGGCAATTTAACCTTTTTGTAAAAAACCCGGGACCCAATTTTTCAAAAAATTTTACCAAAAATTAAGGGCAATTTAAAATTGGGCCCGGCCCCCCAAAATTTTAAAAGGAAAAAATTTTTTAAACTACATCAGTGAGTTGTGGTGTATTGGTATAGATACCGGCCTACCAATCTGAAGGTCTCTGGTTTGATTCCCAACTAACACCACATTGTGAAGATGAAGACTTTTTTTAAGATTTTTATGCAAGAATTAATTTGAAATTGTTTTACTACATCTGGTTTGTATAGGAAACCATTTAAGTAGTGTTGATGAATATGTTTCCTTTTGTTTTATCAGGATGTTTCTGTCAATATGTACAATAGCAAGTTTTTCTCTAGAACACATCTTTTTCAACGGTTTTCTTTATGACATCATACAATTGTATACTACACAATTAATATACACCTCAACTAGTTATATACATTCATATCGATTTACAATCAGATTGTAACATTTTACAGAATTAACCGACTATAGGGTCAAATGCAAGAGTGCCAGGTCAATATTGTTGGACAATATTTAAGTACAGTCATAACATTGTCTAGCAATATAGTATACTATTTATGTACAGTTATATAACAGTACCTGAAACAATTTAGCATACAATATCTGAACAGTTATTACTGTTTATTATTTCTCTACAGTTATTGTCCAACAACATTGACCTGGCACTCTTGCATTTGACCCCATAGTCGGTAAATTCCGTAAACGTTACTACCTATTTGTAAATCGATATGAATGTATATAACCAGTTGTTAAATGGTCTAAATTAAAACTCCCTCTTAGCACAGTCATTAAGGGCTTTCACTTGAAGAATATAGACGTACACTCGTAGGTTCGAATCCTGGTTCAGCCACTTTTATAATTTTTTTTCTTATTTTAAAATTGCCATTTCTCTCTTAACTCGTGCAAAACGTTTTGATTTTTGGTTGTGTATTCTATCTGTGTATTATTTTAATTTGCATTATGAACGTGCTGTCCTTTTTATTAATAAAAGATAAAGTAATGAAATAAACAATAAAATTGTATAAAAACCACTACTTAAAAGGTATCCTAAAAACCAGATGCAGTAAAACTATTTCAAATTAATTCTTGCAAGTAAATTTTAAAATGAAAAAAAAATGCATGTCTTCATAACGTGGTGTTGGTCAGGTATCGAACTAGGGAACTTCAGATCAGTAGTCAGGCATCTACACCAATACACCACAACTCATTGATGTGAGAAGTTAACAAAGATATCGATATATTTTTAGATACCACTGTTTATCACCTGACTTTTACGGAAATTAATGAAGTGCCAGGTCAATATTGTTGGACAATGATATTTGACATGTTGCTTTGAAACTTTGCACATTTGTGTACCATCATGCCACTAACCTGTACACAGGAGAAGGTTACTCTATCAAGCATTTTGACAAAAGTTATGCCTCTTCTCGACTTAGAATTCAAGTTAAAGTTTGAGAATCTATGTAAATGTTTGTGTACCACCTCAGATATTATACTTAGATCTTAGAAATTGTGCACGAGGCATTACTTTGTGGACCTGAGGCTATCAACTTTTCAAATTATGACCATTAGGGTCAATTTATTGGCCTGGCCCTGATTATTAATAGGAAAAACTGTAAAACTTCATTAATAAGATATCACTTTCATATTTAGTCATATGACACATCTGAACATTGTTTGTCATTTGACATAGGGTAATACGACCTTGCCCCATCTTTAACTTTTAGTTTTAAGTTAACCCTTAACCTCATATATATGCGAAACAACGCACTTTCGACCCCCCCCCCCCCCCCCACCCTTTAGGCCTCAAATAGTGAAAAAATGTCCTATTTGGGCCCATAACACATGTTTTCGTTTGAGAAATGTTGGTAAAAACAGTGAGCACTTTTTCGTCGCCGCTCCCCATCCAAAAGATACATCAGGGGGTTGCCAGAAGGGGGATGTGCCCCCTTCTGTTTGGGGGGTTTGAAGGGGGCGGTAGTCCCCCTCATCGCCAAGAAAATTTTGCACTTGTGAGAGGCTAAAAATGACCCCTGGTCGATCATACGGTAACATGTAACCAACGCTGAAAAGCATTTGACTCTATCTCAATCCCTTGAGAAGTTGAATGCAGCACTTTGAAATAAATTTTGATGGAAAAAATCAAGGCAAAATAGTGATTTTTGGCAATTTTGAGATGTCCCCTTGTTGCCATGGTAACAGGAAATTTAAGACTGAGCATGTCGTTACAAAGGCAATGGTCCAGTCAACATTTGTGCCAAGTTTGATTAGTATTGAAGCATTTTTCATAGTTTCATAGCAGTTTGAACTTGTAACAGTAGGCTTTTCAATGAAAACGGCCATTTTTCACAATATGCTCATGAGGGAAAGGGTTAATAATGATGTCAAAATGCAAACCTCTGGTTGCCTTGGGAGGCAATTAATTTCATTGAATTATATAATTATATATTTTGGGTATAATGTCATATATATTTCTTTCTTTCATATAAATTCTTTCTTGGGCAATATTATTATAAGTGGCCATATAAAATGATAAATGTGTTTGTCATAAGATATTTATAATCAGAAAAACTGTGACTGATTCAGCCAACTGCGGTAAAAGTACATTGTAGCTATAAATAGCTTGCCGCTATGGTAATCACAGTGACGATGTCACAATGAAGTTAAAATAACTTAAAATATATAAGGCCAATATCGCAAAGAAATCACAACAGTAGCTGTGGTGTAGTGGTTAAGATACTGGACTGGCAATCCAGAGACCCGTGGTTTGAGTTCCGGCTGCAGTAAGAATATACATGTATATATAACATTGGATATAGTACACTTCCATGTTTAAAAAACGATCAATACATTAATATTTTGTTAAATGTAAAGATTAGAAGATTAAACCATTCATTAAATTTCTTTTTTCTTGTTTATCTATACTCGTACATTCCTGTTTTTTTTTGTTCATGTGTTTCATGTTGTCTGTGTGTTACGGGCCCATTGGGACAGGTGTATATAAGTGTATTCTATGTTTATCCTTTTGTTTGTTTACAAATAGATATTTATTACTAACTTACTTAGATATCAAAAACCCAATGTCCTATTCAAGTTCAGTTATACAGGTATGTTCCTTAAAGGGCTTTCAAATTTGTTTTAAGAATTTCTTTCAATGCATAACTTAAAATAGCACTGGCAATCAATTGATTGAGAATTTATAACCTCTGCCCACAGAAATGTAAAACTGTCTAGCAGTCCTTTATCAAAAATGTTGTAATAATTTTCCAAGGAAAGCCTTGTCCATAGGCTTATCAGATTTATATAGAAACATATAGGAGTTAATAGATCAATTATTAAAGTCATTATAAAATCATAGACACTATTGCATATGTCAACGTTCAGCTGTATACTATCACATTATAAACTTTTTCTGTTACTACTATTATTTTGTGCTACACAATAATAACAAGTGGTATTGTGAGCATCTATTATAATGTGTACATATATAAGAAGATCATATATGGAAAAGATATTAATGATAAATAGTAATGTTGAAAATAATAATAATAATACAAAATGCAAACAAGATAATTTACTTTCAGAATGCCACAGGGGCGTTTGTTTGACCACATTTGTAACTCTAGTCAGTTTGATGAAATGGTAGCAGGAGATTTTGTACGACAGATTCTGGAGGCCATACAGTTCCTACATAATTGTAGGATTGCTCACCTTGATATAAAGGTAACATTTTATAATATAACCTGCAACTCAACTTGATATATCATGACACTCTTTTTGAAGTAATACATGACACTGCAATGCATTAATAAATCAAAAATTCCATTGAAGTATTGTATGCTAAAAAACCTTAACAAACTATGTGACAGTCAATTTTAATATTGCCTGACACTCAATTAGTTTTATTGCATGACTCTCAGTTTATAGACACTCACCTTTAAATACTTTATCATACTCCTCTTAGTTTTTTCATGAATCTTACCTTAAAATGTTAAAAGTACTGCCTGACACTCAATCTGTACTACATGTATGGCATGACACTCAGGTTATAGTACATGTATTGTATGACACTCATGTTATAGTACATGTATGGCATGACACACAGTTTATAGTATATGTATGGCTTGACACTCTGGTTATAGTACATGTATGGCATGACACTCTGGTTATAGTACATGTATGGCATGACACTCAGGTTATAGTACATGTATGGCATGACACTCAGGTTATAGTACATGTATGGCTTGACACTCAGATTATAGTACAGGTATTGCATGACACTCAGCTTATAGTACATGTATGGCATGACACTCAAGTTATAGTACATGTATGGCATGACACTCAGGTTATAGTACATGTATGGCTTGACACTCAGGTTATAGTACATGTATGGCATGACACTCAGGTTATAGTACAGGTATTGCATGACACTCATGTTATAGTACATGTATGGCATGACACTCAGGTTATAGTACATGTATTGTATGACACTCTGGTTATAGAACATGTGATGTATGGCATGACACGCAGGTTATAGTACATGTATGGCATGACACTCAGGTTATAGTACATGTATGGCATGACACTCAGGTTATAGTACATGTATGGCATGACACTCAGGTTATAGTACATGTATGGCATGACACTCAGGTTATAGTACATGTATGGCATGACACTCAGTTTATAGTTGATGTATTGCATGACACTCAAGTTATAGTACATGTATGGCATGACACACAGTTTATAGTATATATATGGCAGGTCACTCAAGATATAGTACATGTATGGCATGACACTCAAGCTATAGTATATGTATGGTATGACACTCAGATTAAAGTAAATGTATTTTATGACACTCAGTTTATAGTACGTGTATGGCATGACACACAGTTTATAGTTGATGTATTGCATTACACTCAAGTTATAGTACATGTATTGCACGACACTTAAGTTATAGTACATGTTTGGCATGACACTCTGGTTATAGAACATGTATTGCATGACACTCTGGTTATAGAACATGTATTGCATGACACTCTGGTTATAGAACATGTATTGCATGACACTCTGGTTATAGAACATGTATTGCATGACACTCTGGTTATAGAACATGTATTGCATGACACTCTGGTTATAGAACATGTATTGCACGACACTCATGTTATAGTACATGTATTGCATGACACTCTGGTTATAGTACACGACAGTACTCTTGTACAGCGTGACAGCTCTTGTTCCATTCAGTAAAGATTCTGAAAATTCTTTTCAGAATTCTTTCAAAAAAATTGACATTGGTTTAGACAAAGAAGAAAATATGGATAAAACTACTTTAACCAGTTTTTGCACAGTCTACAAATGAAACTGAAAGACAGTGGTAAGGTAATTTGTATAGAACTGTATATAAAGTAGGATCAAAATGATTATGACTTATTCTATTTACAGCCGGAAAATGTTTTATGTGACACCAACAATGGTTTGACTGTAGTTAAGCTGACAGATTTTGGTGATGCAAGACACATTTATAATAATTACTATGTCCATGCTGCAAGTGGAGATCCAGAATTCCTTGCACCAGAAATTGTAGCTGCAATGCCTGTTGGACTACTTTCAGATATCTGGTATGTTGTTTTTTTCAAACAATTTATGTTGAATATTCTTGTCACCCTCTGTAAAATAAGCAGGATTTTTTATTGTGGGGGAGGGGGGGGCGCAATGAAATCAAGGTAAAACTGCTTAAGGGTGAGCTTTTGGAATCACTCTGCGTCCGTTGTTTATGGCTTCAATCATTTTCTTAAAACAACATCTCCTATACAAATAGGCCAATATTGTTAAAACTGAACAGGAATGTTCCTGGCATGAAGCTCTTTAAATATTGTTTACTTTCCATGCTAAATTCTGGTTGCCATGGCAAACAAAAAAAAACAACTTAAAAATCTTGTAAAAAAACAAAAAAGCTACAGCTTAGATATTTAGCATGAAACATCTTCTAGTGTGTGTCTACCAAGTTTGTTCAAATAAAAACCCTACATCTTATCTCTAATTAGTATTGTGCAACTAAATCGGATAATCCTACTGTCTGTTGAGGCCTTAAGATTTACAGAAGTATTGTAAAAGTAGTTAATGCAAAGATGAATGATGTACAGGGGTATTGTAGGAGAGGTTTATTTTAGGTTGATTGAATATTGGTACTTAATGGAGTGGTGTTTATATTAACAAGGATAATAAATGGTAGTTAATATTATTGTCCCCCGCCTTTTTGGATATAGAAATAGGCTCCGTCTGTCTGTCTGTCCGTCACACTTTCATGTCCGGTCCATAACTTTGTCATTTATCAAAGGAATCTGAAATAACTTAGCACAAATGTTTGTTATAATAAGACGATGTGTCATGCGCAACAACCAGACCCCTACCTCCAGAGCCAAAGTTGCACTTGCTCATTCAAGGTCAACATTGTCTTTTTGAGGGTATATGTTGTGTCTGGTCCTTTTTTATCTTTGAAGGGATTTTGTAAATACTTGCCACAATTGTTCACAATAATGAGACGATGTGCCATGCCCAACAACCGGTCACCTACCTTCAAGGTCAAGGTCACACTTGGAGGTCAAAGATTTACATAGTCTGTTACAGGGTATATTTTGTGTCCGGTCCATAACTTTTTCATAGATCAAAGGATTTTGTAAATACTTGCCACAAATAGTCACTATAATAAGACGTCATGTGCAACCTCTGCATCCCACCTCCAAGTTCAAGGTCACACTTAGAGGTCAAAAGTTAACATAGTCTATTTTAGGGTATATTTTGTGTCCGATCTAGAACTTCTTCGGGATTTTGAAATTACTAGGCACAAATAGTCACAATAATAAGACTATATGTCAAGTACAACCTGCACCCCTACCTCCAAGGTCAAGGTCACACTTAGAGGTCAACGGTTAACAGAGTCTGTTATATGGTATATTTTGTGTCCTGTCCAGTTCTTCTTCATTGATCAAGGGATTTTGAAAATACTTTGCACAAATAGTCACAATGCTAAGATGATATGTCATGTGTAACACATGTGTCCCTACCTCCAAGGTCAAGGTCACACATAGAGGTCAAAGATTTACATAGTCTGCTATAGGGTATATTTTGTGTCCAGTCCATAACTTTTTCATAGATCAATGGATTTTAAAAATACTTTTCACAAGTAATCACAATATTAAGACGATATGTCAGGTGCAAAACATGGGTCCCTACCTGCATGGTCAAACTAAGAGGTCAAAGATTAACATAGTCTGTTATAGGGTATATTTTGTGTCCGATCTATACATCTTCATAGTTCAAGGGATTTTGAAAATACTTGGCACAAATAGTTACAATAATAAGACGATATGTCATGCATAACACCTGCACCCCTACCTTCAAGCTCAAGGACACACTTAGAGGTCAAAGCTTAACATGATAGATTTTTAATTCCCGTGTTTCATTTACTAGTATTTCTTTAATAAATTTATTGTTGCATTTGCAGATCTAGCATTGATCATAATTTTGGACTGAAAGTCCTGAAATCCATACCTCAATCTTTTGAAATAGCACAATTTTATGCTACATATAAAATTTCCCCGAGGCAGGGGACGTTGGTAACTCTGTTACAAATTCTTGCGTTGAGTGGGGTTTATATTTACAAGAGTACAGAAGTGATTGTTTATGTTATATTTAGTGGTGTTTTAAGAGTGTTGGAGTGGTGATTTATGGCATATTGAGTGGTGTTTATAAAATTACAGGAGTATTGGACTGCTGTTTTATGTAATATTGAGTGGTGGTTATTTATTTAAGTAGTGGTTTATGTTTAAGTGGTGTTTACATATTTACAGAAGTATTGGGGTGGTTGTTTATGTAATATTGAGTGGTGGTTATTTATTAACAGGCGTACTGGAGTAGTGGTTTATGTTAAAGTGGCATTTATATATTTTCAGGAGTATTGGAGTGGTGGTTAATGTTAAAGTGACGTTAATATATTTTCAGGAGTATTGGAGTGGTGGTTTATGTTAAAGTGACGTTAATATATTTTCAGGAGTATTGGAGTGGTGGTTTATGTTAAAGTGACGTTAATATATTTTCAGGAGTATTGGAGTGGTGGTTTATGTTAAAGTGACGTTAATATATTTTCAGGAGTATTGGAGTGGTGGTTTATGTTAAAGTGACATTAATATATTTTCAGGAGTATTGGAGTGGTGGTTTATGTTAAAGTGACATTAATATACTTACAGGATTATTGGAGTGGTGGTTTATGTTAAAGTGACCTTAATATATTTTCAGGAGTATTGGAGTGGTGGTTTATGTTAAAGTGACGTTAATATATTATCAGGAGTATTGGAGTGGTGGTTTATGTTAAAGTGACGTTAATATATTTTCAGGAGTATTGGAGTGCTGGTTTATGTAATATTGAGTGGTGGATATTTAATAACAAGAGTATTGGAGTGGTGGTTTATGTTAAAGTGACATTTATATATTTTCAGGAGTATGTAGTTGTGGTTTGTGGTTATTTATTAACAGGAGTATTGGAGTGGTCGTTTATGTTAAAGTGACATTAATATATTTTCAGGAGTATTGGAGTGGTGGTTTATGTTAAAGTGACGTTAATATATTTTCAGGAGTATTGGAGTGGTGGTTTATGTTAAAGTGACGTTAATATATTTTCAGGAGTATTGGAGTGGTGGTTTATGTTAAAGTGACGTTAATATATTTTCAGGAGTATTGGAGTGGTGGTTTATGTCATGTTGAGTGGTGGTTATTTATTAACAGGAGTACTGGAGTAGTGGTTTATGTTAAAGTGGCATTTATATATTTACATGAGTATTGGACTGCTGGTTTATGTAATATTGAGTGGTGGTTATTTATTTTCAGGAGTGGTGGTTTATGTTAAAGTGACGTTAATATATTTTCAGGAGTATTGGAGTGGTGGTTTATGTTAAAGTGACATTAATATATTTTCAGGAGTATTGGAGTGGTGGTTTATGTTAAAGTGACGTTAATATATTTTCAGGAGTATTGGAGTGGTGGTTTATGTTAAAGTGACGTTAATATATTTTCAGGAGTATTGGAGTGGTGGTTTATGTCATGTTGAGTGGTGTGTCACCATTTCTAGATGAGAGTGATGAGGAGACATGTTCTAATATACTGCGCAATGACTTCTGCTTCCCTGAAGAATTCTTTGCTGGGATATCATCTGAGGCTAAAGATTTTATACGTTCAATGCTGATTGATGACCTAGGGTATGTAAAATATCATTATACAAATCATATTTCTTAAGTAAACAAGATATGTTTGTAAAACATGTATGCTCCCCAAACAGAGCCAGTTAGTTATGTTCCAGGGTTATTGTGACTGACTTTTGACCTAGTGACCAAAAAATCAATAGGTCATGACTAGTCCCTGTGTCATTGTGACCATAAAGGTTGTGTTCAGCAATTTCACGACAAAGTTATCACAAATCTTACCAAAGGATATATGCATAATTTTTATGAATCATTTAGGCCTCCTTAATGATAGTCAATTTATTATATAACATTTTTAAAAAGCATTTTTAGCTTAATAACAAATATCAACCAAGGCAACTTGAGTTGTTGAGTTTTTATGTACAAGGTCAATGTGACTTTGACCTTTGACCCTTAAATTAATAGGGTTTATCTACTGGCCAAGACCAATGCACCTGTGAAGTTTGAAGGTAAAGGGCCCATGAGTTGTTCAGATATTGATGAGAAACTGTTTTTACCTAAAGGTCCATATATCTTGACCTCTGACCCCTTGACCCCAAAAATCCATTGAGGTCATCTTCTGACCAAAAGCAATGCATTTGTGAAGCTTCAAGGTCAAGGGTCCATGGGTTGTTGAGTTTTTGATAGGAAACTGTTTTGACATATGTGACCTTTACCTTTGACCCAAAAATCAATAGGGGTCATTTACTGGCCAAGAACAATGCAACTATGCAGTTTGAGGGCCAACAGCCCATGGGTTGTCAAGTTATTGATCACTAACCATTTTTACCTACAAGGTCAATAAGACCTTGACCTTTGACCTCTTGTCCCCAAAATCTATAGGGGTCATTTACTGGCCAAGACCAATGCACCTATGCAGTTTAAGGGCCAAGGGCCCATGAGTTGTAAAATTATTGATACCTTACGTAACAAGGCCAATAAGACCTTGACATTTGACCCGAAAAATCAATAGGGGTTATGTACAGGCCAAGACTAATACACCGTCAAAGTCCCATCAGTTGTTGAGTTATTAATTGGAAACCATTTTGACATTCAAGAACAATTTGACCTTGACCTTTGACCTCAAGACCCAAAAACAATAAGAGTCATCTTCTGGTCATGAACAATCCACATACCAAGTTTGAAGTTCCTAGGCCTTAGCGTTCTTTAGTTATCGATTCTACAGACCAACCAACATCAAATGCAAAGCAATATACCTCCACTTCTTTGAAGGGGCATAAATATACATTTTGACAATTTCAAATTATCAACTACAGAAAATGTGGCAAAGGATTTGGTAATAGTCTGCTTTTGTCAGTCGATCCTATTGATCCACATTTTTGTCCAAGCATAATTTCAAAAGTATTTCAGGTATCAACATCAAACTTCATAGGTGGATATCTCATTGAGTGGGGAGTGCTGCGCTTAACTTTTATCTACATTGCTTTTAACCTTTGTTGGCTTTCATGCAGGAGCATAACCAGAAAAGTATTTGAGATATCAGGTTTATACAGGATAATCATATTGAGGAGAATGATAACTCTTCAACATTCATTTGATTAAATTAGGAATATAAGAATCAATGACATGACAACAAGTAATTTTAATTTGACAATTTTTCTATGCAATTTTAATATTATATTATAGGAGAGCAATGAAATTTGATAATTGATCATAATTACTTGCTATTTCAAAAACTTAAACAAAACTTATACATCACTTTAGTCTAAGTCTAGTTCATATTCATGCTTAAACATTCATATATTTAAATGTTATAATTTGTTTAATTTACTTAATAAGGAATGTTATTTTTCTCTTAATTATTTTTCTTTTTGAGTAAAAAAAATTTCTTTTCGAGTAAAAAACACTTAATCTAGTTTGATTTGACGACAATACATAAGAATATGTTTTATTCTATTGAAGTAAAATTTTTTATAAATTTCTATTTTACAGATCAGGGATTTCACATAATCCATTCTTCTCTGTTATTGTAAACCAACCTGTGTGCGCAGTTTTTATGCAAGAATGCTGTTTGATTATTAGTTTACATTATCTCTGGGTTAAATCTATATTTATTTGGAACTAACTGATAGTGCTATAGCACTACATGAACAAGCCTTTAGGGCTTGGTTTGTTTAGTTTTACTGCATACCAACACCGTTAGGTCATATCCTGTCTAAACAGGAAAGATGATTTCTCTAACCTTAGATGTTACAAACTTAGAGCAACATCAGGGGTCAAAACCAACTCACCTGCTGGTGCTATAAGATGCATAGACTCCAAATATTCAACCCATTTAGCCACCTCTTACATCAGGCAGAAATGAAGGGTGGCTGCAATTCTGATGCCTTGACCCTAAAAAAGCAACCCCTCAGCCAAAAGGGGGAAGTTTACTATAACCTTTTATTTGTGTTTGATAGCATTTGTCTAGATATCAAAATTAAGTGTAGTTATTTGATATCTTGTTTGATGAAGCTTAAAACTTTTGAACATCCACATGTTGTGATATGAGCGATGTAGGGACATCATGGCTGAGACTCTATTATTTAAAATAATTATTTGATGAGTTTTGTCAGTCTGTCATTCTGTATCATTATAAGACCATCATTTTATTATATGTATAGTCTTAGACACATGGCATTGAGCCTTGTAAAAATATTTATCTATATTTCATTTAGGTTTTCTGTTGTACTTTCCAGAAAAAGACCAAATGCTCAGACATGTTTAGAGAATGTATGGATAAAGAAAGCTTGTGTGCCACACCCATCTCAACTCAGGCCACGTCCAATAGCTTCAGCTCGCCTTGCACATTTTGTTGACAGACGGAAACATCTTGTAAGTAATTTTTTGTCTTGATTCTGTATTTTAAAGATTAAATTTTATAATTTTATGACAGGGCTCAAGGTCAGTTCAAATTTAAAAATTTTACCTTGAAGGTCAAGGTCATTTATGACTGAAAGTCAAGGTTTGTGTGTTGTACTTGAAGGTTATTGTGGCCAAGTATTAAGATAAAAACTGTGAACTTAAAAAAATATGATAAAGGTTAAAGTTGCGGACAGCAATGCCGTCCCCATGACTGTAACAATACCACTATGTTGTTTTTTTTTCTAAAGAAGTCAAGTTAATAAATGATGCATGCCAACAATGTGACATAATAATCAACTTCTCTAATATTTCTAGCAATATAAGGTGAGCCATCTAGTCCTGATGGTCTTCTTGTCATCTATTTTTGTGATTATCTATTAATTATTTTAAAAATATCATGTGTATTTTTCAGATGGCTTCATAAAAAGGGCTGGAATAAATTCAGACAGAACTAAATCAAGCTTTATATTGCATAAAAGTGATTTATGACCATATACACAAAGTGCAACAGTGTTACATACAACTTCAGTTTCAAGATTTTGATATAGTGTTAATATCACATAAGTAACTTATATGGTTTAGTTAATGTAAACACATCATGTTTTAGATATTGTTTGTATAAAGTATTTATTAGAAATGAATGAGATATATGAGTGATATGTCAGTTTTTTCACTTAGTGCTCACATAACTTACAATTATCATGTAATGTAAACAAGTTAAGTTTATAAGACTTTTGTAAGATATACATGTATGTATCAATCTTAGATTTTGATTACAAAATGTAATATATTCAACTTAACATTGTATCATATTTTCACATTAATACTGTATATTTAATGTATATCAGCACTAAATTACCATTTATAGTTAATTTTGATGCTGTTGACAGAAAGCTCTGTCATTGTTTACAACATTTTAAGTTTGTATTATACATTATACAAGACTATGTTAATACATTTATTGACACCAAAGTATTTAAAGACCACCTTAGTAATTATCCCCCGCCAAGGGAATCGGGAGGGGGATATTTTTTTGGCGTTGTCCATCTGTCATTTCGTTTGTTCGTCCGAATTTCGCTACTTCTCTGCAACTACTGAAACTTTATGGGAACCTTCAATACCAACAGAAGATGCGCATATCGTCGCATTGTTCCGGTCAGACACTTTAACTCAAGAGTTATGGCCCTTGATTAGTTATGCAGTATGCATATAGAACAAAAATCGTTTCCACGCTACTTCTCTGCAACTACTGGCTTGAATTCAATGAAACTTTATAGGAATCATAAATATCAAGAGGAGATGCCCATATCATTGGCTTGTTCCGGTCAGACACTTTAACTCAAGAGTTATGGCCCTTGATTAGTTATGCAGTATGCATATAGAGCAAACTTTATGGGAACCTTCAATACCAAGAGGAGATGCGCATATCATCACCTTGTTCCGGTCACACACTTTAACTCAGAGTTATGACCCTTGATTAGTTACGCAGTATGCATATAGAGCATTAAATTATAGAACCTTACTTCTCTGCAACTACTGGCTGGAATAGGGAACGATCTGAGATAAGCATCGTATACGTCACTGATAAGAGACCTGTTCTAAAAATAGCCACACATCGATAACTTTCGGACAAGGAAACTGGTTAATCTACATGTAGATTATACAACATGTAATGGTTACGAATACTTTTAATCACATTTCTTTCAATGGAAATGATGTTCCTGGGGTTAAACTTGCGTAAAGCATGATTTGAGATGGTTTAAAACCATCAGGAAAAAAAAAGATGATATGGTGAAAAAGAAATAACTTTCAGGGGCAATACTTTCCCTGCATGTCAATTTGAGAAAAATGCCGGCGCTTGGCAATTTGTTTTTTGTTTCACTGTTTATCAAAATTAGAAATGGTGATATGATATGGTATGATTTTAAGAAATTGGGACTAAAAATGAAAAAGTATCTTCTGTCCCAGATATACCGTACAAAATTTTGTTTCTATGTAAAATACGCAGATTGGAGAAGTCATGAATCTATCCACCAAAGTGCTACGAGTATTAGATTAATGACTATAATATCTTAAATTAATTCTTTAATAATTTTAGAATACGCAAAACTCTGCGTTTTTGTCCTATTTTACCTAATAAAAAAACGCCGATTCTAGTAGTTACTTTATCAGAAATAATTGTATACGTACATGCATGCTTGCATGTATATTTAAACTGAATTGACAATTGAGGTCCGTGATTAAACATACACTGTTTACGTATAGACAATTAAAATACATTTGTTTTTTTATTTTATGTCTCACACAAATATTTGTTGTTAAAATCATCGCCAATTTAGAATTACTGGTGCATTTTGTAAACTTCGCCTCATCAATCAAAATAGTCAAACTTTTTCTGCCTGAATTGACAAAAACCGTTTTATTTGACAAATATAGAGGCCAGAGCAGATTGTGACATATGTTAAATTTAACTTTTCAAAAGTACAGTGTGTAATTATAGTTGTCCTTTTCTTTTCACACTAAATTACATTTCCAACTTGTTTGCATTCTACAATTTCTTAAAATATTGCATGTAAACAAAGTAAATATACGCTGATTAACATCATGTATAGTGTGAACTCCCTAATCCCTTGTCCGAAAGTCAGTACAGGTGATGTAGTGGTGATAAGGTAAAATCTATTTTTAGAACAGTGTTACCTTCAGATCCAAGGCTATTCAACAAAACTTTATGGGAACCTTCAATACCAAGAGATGTGCATATTGTTGCCTTGTTCGGACCAGACCCTTCATTACAGAGTTATGGCCCTTAATTAGTTATGTAGTATTCATATAGAGCAATATTGCTCTTTCTTTGCAACTGCTGTATTGATTTCAACAAAACTTTATGGCAACCATCGATACAAAAAGGCAATTTACATCTCATTGGCATGTCCAGATATAACTATTTAACACAGAGTTATGGCTCTTTTATTGCCCTGAATATTTATCATGTAAAAAGAATAATACTGTTAATGCCATAATAAATATATAAATAAAGCCTTATGTCTTCAGTTGTTGGGTTAGGAATAACCAGTACTCAGCAGGGGATGTAAATTCAATGAATTTGCTTGTTAGCTAATTGTTACGATTTTATCTAATTAATATTAATTATAATCTTTGAATAAGTATTGAATATTTAATGAATTTATGCAATGTTTTACCTTAGAATTTGTGTTTAGTATTTATAAATGTATCATGAACAAATATAATTTATAATTCAAGTAACTTACCGAAGAATACTTGTTCAATTTATCACAAAGCTTATTTAATTAGTATTAATGGATACTTACTTTGGAATATGTTTATTATGTATCATGAACAAATATAAATGCTATTAAATGGTAGCTAAGTAAGGCTTACATTTTTTGAAGAAGTTGTATATGGTAAACCATTGGTATGATATTTATTAAAAAAGAAAAGAAGGTAATGCTAACTACTAATGTTTTCAGAAATAAATTGATTGTCCTTTTGTTTTAGACCATTGCAAGCTATATACATACTCTTCAGTATTACTTCGAGTGTAGGACAAAAGCCCTCCCATCCAAAAATGACAAGGCAGACAAAAGCCCTCCCATGAACATGACTTGTTCGCCTTGTTATTTTCACAGGACGGCTTTTGTCCACCTTGTCATTTTTGGATTGGAGAGCTTTAGTCTGGTAGGGCTTTTGTCCATTTCTCACATACTTCAATTATAGTAAGTTATTTATATTACAGACTAATTCAATGCTACCTGTAATAAAAAGCCATTTATGAAGTAATGGGGGTTGTGTAGGGGTTTAAACAGTCCACAATATGCAGCAGATAAACAAAGGAATAAAACAAAACAAATTTTTGATTACTAAAAAAATGGATCAGATCCTATTTTAATGTCAGCAGTTATATGAAGTATTTTACAGACTATTTTATTGCTAGCATTCAAATACAAAGTAACTAACAGACTATTTTACTGCTAACATTAATACAAAGTAACTTACAGACATTTTACTGCTAACATTAATACAAAGTAACTTACAGACTATTTCACTGCTAGCATTAAATACAAAGTAACTTACAGGCTTTTTTACTGCTAGCATTAATACAAAGTAACTTACAGACTATTTTAATACTGCTAGCATTAAATACAAAGTAACTTACAGCTTTTTTTTACTGCTAGCATTAATACAAAGTAACTTACAGACTATTTTACTGCTAGCATTTAAATTCTAAGCAACTTACAGACTATTTTACTGCTAGCATTAATACACAGTAATTTACAGACTATTTTACTTGCTAGCATTTAAATACAAAGTAATTTACAGACTATTTTACTGCTAGCAATAAATACAGTGATTTACAGACTATTTTACTGCTAGCATTAATACAAAGTCACTTACAGACTATTTTACAGCTAGCATTTAAATTCTAAGTAGTTCTAAGTCACATACAGACTTTTTTACTGCTAGCATTTAAATTCTAAGTAACTTACAGACTATTTTACTGCTAGCATTAATACAAAGTAACTTACAGATTATTTTACTGCTAGCATTAATACAAAATAACTTACAGACTATTTTACTGCTAGCATTAATACAAAATAACTTAAAGACTATTTTACTGCTAGCATTAAATACAAAGTAATTTACAGACTATTTTACTGCTAGCATTAAATACAAAGTGATTAACAGACTGTTTTACTGCTAGCATTAATACACAGTAACTTACAGACTATTTTACTGCCAGCATTAATACAAAATAACTTACAGACTATTTTACTGCTAGCATTAAATACAAAGTAATTTACAGACTATTTTACTGCTAGCATTAATATACAAAGTGATTTACAGAATATTTTACTGCTAGCATTAATACACAGTAACTTACAGACTATTTTACTGCTAGCATTTAAATTCTAAGTAACTTACAGACTATTTTACTGCTAGCATTTAAATTCTAAGTAAATTACAGATTATTTTACTTCTAGCATTTAAATTCAAAGTAACTTACAAACTATTTTACTGCTAGCATTAATACACAGTAATTTACAGACTATTTTACTGCTAGCACTAATACAAAGTAATTTACAAACTATTTTATTGCAAGCATAAATATAAAGTAACTTACAGACTATTTAACTGCTAGCATTAATACAAAGTAAATTACTACAAAATTTAAATTTTTAAATTTTTTAATTCCTATCTTTTTTAAGGGTTTAATTTAAATTTAGCCCATGTTATTGTTTAAATTAAATGGAAATTATTTATTTTACTTTTTAACAACTTTTATTAAATGGGAAAAATTTGCACCCTTTTAAAAATTTCCAGCATAAAATTTAAACTTTTTTACAATTTTTTCTTTTTGAAAACTTTACAGTCATTTCTTTTCTACATCAAAAGAAAAAATTTACAGAAAATTTTTTAATCATTCAATCTTTATAGTGTTATTTCAAGATGATTTATTTCTGAAATATACTTGTTTGCTATCAACATAAATTTTTGTGTGTTTTTTTCTCATGTTTCTTTACATGTTTATTTAAGTGGATTATGACTTAATGTTTTATGTAAATAGATTTGTATTTAAATAATAAATGATAACACATTATATCTTGAGTTTTCATTTTTTGTAAAGTTTTTAAAGTAAAATTATAAGTTCAAAGAGAAATAAATGATGCTGGAGTTTGTCATGCATGTGAATAATGAAAAAGAATAATTATCTTAAGTCTAAAGTAGATACCATTTATAATAACAGATACTAATTTAAAAACAGGAGGACCATGATGGCCATGAATTCGCTCACCTGAACATAAAAACTCTCCATAACAATGAACAAGTAAGATTGTAAACTATAAACAAGAAGGCCATGATGGCCCTGAGTCGCTCACCAGAAACAACTGCTTTTCAGTGTTAGAATGTCAATATATTCTAATATTAAATTTGAGCATAGAATATGTTTAAACAATAATTTGAAAAAATGCAATGACCTGGGGTATCTAAGCTTTGCTTAAACCAAGCTAGTCAAATTAATAAGAGCAAACTTGATTAAAAAAAAACTACCTAAGAATGCTACAAAGTTGGTGATCATCTTTCAATTATTTCAGTAGGAAATGATGTTCGAAGGTTTTTTCTATTTTTAGCTTTAGTGGCCCCTAACAGGGGCTAATCAAATAAATATAAGGCAAACTTGATAAAAAGAGTACCCAAGAATGCTACAGACAAAGTTTGGTGATTATCCATCAATTGGTTCTGAAGTAGAAGATGTTAAAAGGTTTTTCTATTTTTAGCTTAAGCAGCCCTAAAAGGGGGCCAATCAAATGAATATGAGCAAACTTGATAAAAAGATTACCCAAAAATGCTACAGACAAAGTTTGGTGATCATCCATCAATTAGTTCTGTAGGAGAAGATGTTTAAAAGTATTCTATTTTTTAATTTTTTTAGCAACCCTAAAAGGGGCTAATCAAATTAATATGAGCAAACTTAATAAAAGACAACCCAATAATGCTATAGACAAAGTTTGGTGATCATCCATCAATTAGTTATGTAGCAATAAATGTTTAAATGTATATCTATTTTTAATTTTAGTGACCCCTAAAAAAGGGGCCAATCAAAATAATATGAGCAAACTTGATAAAAGACTACCCAACAATGCTTCAGACAATGTTTGGTGATCATCCATCAATTATTCTGTAGAAATAGACATTTAAAGGTATTTCTATTTTTAGCTTTAGCGGCCCCTTAAAGGG